CCATTTCGCACGAATTTGTGCCTCTGTTAATGGATGAAGACTTGCTCCACAAGATTTTTGTATGATTACGTGGGATAAAACAAGAATTATACGCTAAAAGCTTTCAGGTAAATGACGTACGTGAAAACCTACCTCCCCACGTTGAAAACGCACGTCGTAAACCTCAAACGTGACGCGAAAGACTTGTCACGTGACCTCCAGCGGTTAGACGTTCGCGGTAAACTCGGATCTAAAACTCTCTATTGAGCACTTGGGAAGTTTGGAGAGCACTTAAGAGGCTAGAGTTGCACTCGGCTGCGCCTCGTGCAACTCTTCCGCCTCTTTCGTGCTCTCCAAACTTCCCAAGTGCTCAATATCTCGACATACCCACGCTGACGCATGAACTAATTGTTAAATGGGAATCAAACAGATCTCGTAGACAAGCTTGTCGGTTTTTGATGTGAATAAAAGTAATGTTTCTTCATCGACAGAATCGATTTGCTGAATTCCATATATATCTGGCTCATAACAAAGTTCAACAGGCTCTCCTCCCAGGGATCTAAATATAATGCAAGCTCTTTTTCGTCTGTTATTTGAAGCGTTCAATCTCCTGTTCTTTGATTTTTTTCTCTGCTCCTTTCTCTTTCTGGCTTCAGAAGTTTCAGATTTTGAGCCAATGTGGTAAGCACCCTGGTACTTAGCAAATGTTTTGTCAAAATCTGGGTGGTGGGAGGGGGGTGCGACGTTATTTTTAACATAACAGAGAGGGGTTAGAACTAGTTTTTGTTTTGTTTTGGAGGGGGGTACTGTCTAAGTTTTTGCTACATAACTCTAGTTTTTCAGCTCCCCCCTCCTGATAATTATTGCACAGTCCCTAAGTTTCTAGCTTACCACTCGTGAAAGCGCTTAAGTTCCTGTTTTGGACTGAAATGTACGAAAATGTACAAAGTTGTATCAGGTAGCTGTCCTCGTGCGAATAACGTAGCTTCATTTAACGCTACTGATCTTCATTATTATCTTTTAGCATTTTAAATGACAAATATTTGATGGTAAGCGATCTGTCTTTTGTCTACTGCCATTTTAATCATTGTTATACTGACCTGATGATAAAGATGTATAGTACCATACAAACAAACGTTACCCCGGATAAACAGTACTTTGACAACTATGGCTTTAATGACTTTGTTGTAACTACGATCTAAGACATGATTAATAAGTAATGAGATATTTCAGGCAACCAAGATGTCATGTGAAACGCGGTCAAATGGCTCATTCATTTATGCTCCTCAGTTTGAACTGAAGGGAATGATCACTGGTCGACTGTAATGGTTCGTTCCCAGAATCCTCGTTACCTTTGTTATGCGAACATACAAGGGAACAGGGGACTGTAGGACGGAAACATGGTTTTGTTACTCTCAAGGCGTGTGAAAATGTTCAGGACTAGCTTGTAGCCAAGTAGCGATCAGTAGCAAATGTTCCATGTTTTTGTCAACTTCTGCGAAAGCATTGAATTTTGTATATCGGCAATTTTTTGAAAATTTCCACCACTTGAGCGTTTCTGGTACCTTTTCAGATCGAGCTCGATTGATATCTTCAACGAAACAAAGTTAAAAGACTAAGATACGCTACTGTGTGGAATAATTTATAGGCATCCAAATGGTGACTTAGAAAGGTTTATTGAATATGTGAGATCCACAGCTGATAGAATTAATCAAGAAAACAAAACCTGTATAATCATGGGAGACTTTAACATAGATCTTTTAAAATTTGAATCACACTCAGCAACTGATGTTTCCTTAATACTCTGGGTTCTAATTTTTTTCAGCCCCATATACTGCAACCAACAAGAATCACAGATCATTCAGCAACTTTAGTTGATAATATTTTTTTAAATTCAATTGAGCATTTTTCAATCAGTGGTACCATAGTGCATGATCTCTCTGATCACCTTCCTAATTTTCTAATTTTTAATAAATTTTCATCACTTCCTTGCAATGTTAAAATATTCAAAAGAGATTACTCAAAATTTGATCAGCAGGCCCTAATCAGTGAGATTCAATTAATTGACTGGGAAACTATTTTTGTACCCAATGATAGTGTATGCAATATGTTTAAATCTGTTTACTCTAAAATATCTAGCATAATCAACAAACATATACCAGTCAAACAACTATCTAGGAGGGAAATAAAGCTGAAATCAAAACCATGGATATCTAAAGCTCTACGAAAGTCTGTCTATTCAAATTAAAAATAATTATTATGAGAAATACCTTAAGACAAAATCTACCTATTACCATACAAAATTTAAGCTTTACAGGAACAAATTAAACCACCTTCTAAAAATAAGCAAAAAACAATATTATAATGAATATTTTTTTCAAAACATTAAGGATGGCAAAAGGATTTGGAAAGGCATTAAGCAAATAGTAAAATTTAAGCCGCAAACTAGCCAAAGGCTCATTAAGATTGTAGATAACAACTTAGAAATAACCGAACCTAAACTTGTTGCCAATGCATTTAA